CTAGACTATGAAATTCTGTTCTTTTCAGCAGTCTTTGATACTTATAATTTATAACTGTTTAACAAGCATGCTGTTGTACTGCTGACTAGGTTGAACTGCCAATAGTTTATTTTTCTTCTTAGGGATAAATCTTACGTTAACTTTATAAAACGGGAGACATATTTGGGAAAACCAGTGATGCTATAGCAGTAACATCCCGTAGTCAGGTGCACGCCAGGCTTTCTTGGTCCTGCTGGCGTTCTGCTGACAGACGCTTCTGCAAAACCGAAATGAGCAATCGAGAGACATAAGTCAGTGCTGAGATGACAAGACACTAACTCACCACCATGCAGTCACATCTCAGTCAAACATCAATTTGTTCTCCATATCCTCAGCATATATGCTAACATATAATGACATGCAGCTGAAAACACCCATTATTCACTATTTTATCATTCTCTGCTTTAGCCATTTATATTTTTTCACAATAGGGGTCCTGAGGGCTCAGGGAAGGGGAAAGAGAAAGGTGGAATAAACAAATAAAAGAGCATAACAATTTTTAAAAATGCACAAGGAGTGAAAAAAAGGAAAGGTGATCAGAGTGTCAGCTTTCTTGCTGATGACAGCTGAATTGAAGGATGGGGCATAGATGAGCAGGAATAATGGGTTGATTAATAATGAACCCCAGAATTAGACTTAACTGCCCACTCCAGGCAGCTTGGAATAGCCCTAGTTCCCTCAAGTGGGGGCCTCCCTGTAAGATTGTAGTCAGCTCAGCATACTACGTGTGCTCTTGGGAGGAAGAGAAAAGGTGGGACGGAACCACACAACCTTGTCATATCCTCCAACCCAGTGAGCAGATAAGTCACACCACCACCCCTGTGGGGAGAGGCAAGAGGCCAAGAGTTTTTAGGGAATGTCCCTCCCTTTGGAAACCATTTGAGTGGGAAATAAGTGTGTATCATCCTGTGTGGATGAGAGAGGGGAGGTATCAAGGGACTGACCATTTTGGAAGCCCAGTGACATGCCTGTGAAGTTAAATTCACTATGTCTGGGAGGTTGAGAGAATAAAAGGAGGTATAGGTAAAGCACCCAGCCCGGGGACTGGCACAGAGCGAATGCTAAAAAAATAGTCGTGATTCCGTTCAGTCTTTGTTTGGACAAATCCACATGCTCCCTCTTTGCCCTGTTTTGTTTGCCATCTCTAACCAGGTTTGTGATTTGGACAACCAGATGGATATGATGTCATCCTCTGGAAGAGAACAGATATGAAAAATATTAGAGTGGTGAGCAGTAGTGCATTTGATTTCTTATCTACTGAGCGTGAGGCATCTGCATCATAAATCATAGGCACATGGATTTATGATTTCTGTAAAGCAAAAGAACATTAACCTGTTAATTTGTAGCTCCATTTGGAAATTCAACTGTTAAAGAAAGCCCTGTACAGGGCTAAAGACTGACCCTGGAGAGCACCACATCCTGGGGAGCAGTGGAGGGCAGGACCCACAGATGAGCCACGGAGGAAATGAAGAGGCCAGAGAATAAGGAGGAAAACTAGGAAAGTGAGCAACACGGAAGTCAAGGAGAGCGTTCATTTCAGGAAGGAGGGAGGAGTCAACTGTGCCCAGTGCTGCAGAGGAGTCAGGTAGGATAGGGAGGAAAAGGAAGAAAGGGGCCTGCAGAGAAGGCAGTAAACATCCTTCATTGTCAGTTACGGAGCACGTAATGTATGGCGCACTGTGCTACCTGCTCATGCGCAATATCAACTTAATTCTCAAAACACTCCCCCCATTTTTACAGATGAGGGAGGTAGGAGTCAGAAAAGTTTAGTAGCAGCTTGGCTTAGGTCACAAAACTTAGAAGTCACAGAGCTGGGACGCAGACCCCTGTCATCTGACTCTTAACCACTCAGCTGCCCTCTCTTCCAGAAGACTTGCTTTTGCCCTGTGTTGGGTGAGGAAGCCAGAACACCGTGAGCTGAGGGGGAGCCAGGAGTGAGGGAAGGGTAAGAGAGGATGGCAGTTAGAGGAGGGTAGGCTGAGGTTTGTCTTGCTTTAGGACGGCAAAGACCTCAGCATTATTAGATGAAAATAGATGCCCAGAATAAAGCCAGGGAGTGAGGAGACACTCAGGGTGTGTGTGTGTGTAGGGATGGGACCTTAGGAAGGAGAGCCCCTTCTTCTGTGTGACAGGAGAAAGCAGAAGCAATTGGATGGATAGGTTCAGTGTCAGAACATTGATGAAGAACATCTCTTCTGATTGTTCTCATTCTTTCTCTCTCTCTCTCTCTCTCCCACTCCATCCCTTGTCCCACCACCAGCCCCCTCCTCTATCTGGAACATCCCACTTACCCTTCCATGTCCCGCTCTTGTCACTCTCCTGAGCCCTCAGACAGGATGGTTTGCTCTAAGCTTCCAGGGAGTACACGGCATCCATCCACCCATGGGCACTGCTAGGTGGGCCCAGCAGGACCCACCCCCCCACCCCCCACTGCTGGATGTGACTTCATGCTAAGTGAGCATGAATCAGTTGAGTTTGCACCTAAGACATGGTGCCCCTCTGTAGGAGCTTAGGGTTTGGAAAAGGACTAAGTTACACAAATGATTATAATATAAGTCCTATGGGAGAAGGACCATGAAAGAGAGATATGCAGAGTGCTGTGGACTTCAGTCCAGAGGGGGAATGCAGTGAGGGAGGCAGAAGGGTTTTGAGCTAGTTGTTGAAGGATGAGCATATTTACAACTGACAGAGATAAGGAATAGGCCATTTTACTTAGAGAAAGTAGCATGAGAAATGGCACAGAGCTTATCTGGGGAACACAGGATGGTCGTGTTTGGCTGAAGGAGGAAATATAGCTGGAGTGGTAAGTCCATGATGCAACAGGAGGACCTTGAGTGCTAGACTATGAAATTCTGTTCTTTTCAGCAGTCTTTTGGTCGCCAAGAAGTCGATCCTAAGAATTTTTAAATCACACCTACCATTTTCCTTCCAGAACCTAGGCCAGTATCCTGTGAGTTTCAGGATACTAGTACCCACCCAGGTTCTCAGGAACACCCTTGAGCATATAAGTGAGGGCTGTGTTATCTCACTTGGACAGCTGCTGCCTGTGTCCTGGGGATGGGGGTGGGAAGAGGAGAGCTGGGGGTGGGCTTGCTCCTGCAGTGAGAGTTTTCTCATTACTTATACATCACTATTCTTAAGATCTGTTTCTAGACAAAGAAATACAAAATAAAAACCTCTTTTTTCTTTCAGTTAAGAAAAAGAAGCCTAAACTATTAAATAAATTTGATAAGACTATTAAAGCTGAACTTGATGCTGCAGAAAAACTTCGTAAAAGGGTATGTTGATGTTTTTGTTTGGCGCAGAAACGTGCAATGAGTTAGTTGTTCAATAAATTCAGGTATTACTCTTGAATTGTTGTTACAAAGTAATAATAATAAGAGAAGCAGCCCTTGAATAGAGTGGATTTTTCCCCAACCACATGAGCATTCCATGTGAAATGAATCAAGTAAAAGGGAAAAATTGCACCTGTGTGGCCCAAATAGAAGTAGAAGTAACATTTAGGCCGGCCGACTTGGGGTCAGCCTACCACCACCACCCGCCAGGTGTGGGGCTTTGGACAAAACACTTGGCCATTCTGAGCCTCAGTTTCCTTGTTTAAAAACTGAGAATAGTAAGTAATCTTCCTACTTGGTTTTTGTGAAGATCAGATGAGATTTTTTTTTTTTTAAAGCATCAACTATGTCAAATGCCATATAGGTGAACGTTTTTAACTGTATAGCACCTCAACGCAATAAAAGAAAAAATAAGTTAGTCCAGGACTCTTAGGATAGTTCCTGTTAGGTGAAATGACATTGGGTTTAACATTCTTCTCACTAGGTGTTAATTTCAGGCACCTGCAGTTTTCAGGGTGACTATTGTATGGTTTGTGTTGTTATCAGTTAATTTGAAATATGACTTGCATGTGTTTCTAGATATTGCAGTTAAAAAAAATAACTTGATACTAGATTGAAGTTCTTGTTCTCTGACTCAGTCATATTCATCATCTAATCATCAGGTCAAACATTTATAATAATGCATTTAATAACACCTTCACTAACATCTGCTTGTTTTTGACAGAAATTTCTCTTTCTCTACCCTGTATTTGAATTAGACTTGGTGTCATGATCGTTAGTTTTCCTGTAATTATCCAGTAGACCTTGGCTGCAAAGAAGGGACGGGGGGATTGTAAGCAAATAAGCAACAACAAAAAGACACAGGTTAGGAACTGAGGTGGGACAAGAATATGCTTCCCACATGTTTATTGGAAACGTACCAGGAAGCACGGAGACTTCTGTAAGTAGTGTTAGGCAAGGTTCCCAGGCCAAGATTGGCTTACCGTCTTCAGCAGCCAATAAAAATGGAGTAACTCCAAAGACTATTGCAGCAGAGTTGTTCACTGTCCCTAAATTTAATCACTGGAAGGATTTCTGAGTCTATCTTGTTTAACTTCACAAAATGAAGCCACCTACTATTTGTGGGAAATTTGCATTTCTTAATGGAAGTGCAAGTTTCCCACAAATAGTGGATTTTTTCTTCTTTTTCTATCCCCTTGTTTGGCATCCTCCACTTTCTCTTTACTAAATGCCATATATGAAAGTGTGGGATGCCTATTTCACAGGTAACTTTGGGGATAAAGGACGAATGAACAGCTTTAGAGAAGGATTGTATGTAATTTTAATGAATGGGAAAGAAGGGCTCAGTTGTCAAGGGGAAGATAAGTCAATGGGACATAAAAGTGCTGGAACAGTCCATGGGGTATTCTCTGGTTCTTGCTTATCTGGAGAAATGATGAGGCATTCCTCCAGGAGCACCCCGAATCTCTAACAGAGTAAATAAGGGAGAAAGGAGTAGCTACAATTCTTGCTTCTGAAATAGCAGGGCGCCATATTTATTATTGACTGAATTATCAGCGTAAGTTTTTTTAAGGTTATTTTTATGGCTGATATTTTCATATGATGCAACCGGTCACCTTGGAAGAGCCGAGACCCATGCTGAGGTATGCCCTGGGCGGGGGGGGAGGGGTGTCCAGTTTCAGTTCATGCCTAGCTTTAAGGACTATGCTACATGAAAGTACGAGGTCACTTTTTTTTTTTTTAAACCTTTCTCCAGCCATTTATTTCACTCATTTCTGGGTAATGCACATGGATTTGTTTGCACTGAGGAGAATGGAGGCTTGTGCATGCTCCGTGGGGGGTGCATGAGCGCTGAGTGTGCAGCTGCAGGGGGACACCTTGTTTAGGACAAGAAGGTTGATAAGTAAGCACATTCTAGCTAATATCACGCCATTTGGAGCAAGGTTGTCCTCAGAGTTCAGCCAGTACGAGGTCACTTTTTTATTTTTCCATCAAAAATATACAGATCAGACCCTAGTTCAATCATGTGTTTTTCAAGAGTCATCTGTCTTGCTTAACACTCTCCTTTACCCCTAGACAAAAGGATTTGGGATGATATACTGAAATATTCCTTTATGTGCTAGAGTCATTTATTATTATTGTATTTTAAGTGAGAAAAGAGAGGGAGAAGGGAACACGTAATAAAGCCAGAGTAAGGTCAACACATGAAGGTTTGCATCACAGGCTCTGAAAGGAGCTTGGGATGAAGGGACACGCTGTAGGCAGAACACAAAGGGAGTAGCATCATGAGATCAGATTAATAGTGTTTATCAAAGGAGCTGCTCTCCACCAAGTCCAGAGAGAAGCATTCTGCTGTGGGTCTTCATAAAGGGTACGCTGATGGATGGCACAGCTTCCTCCCTCTCATCACACCAGTGGATTCTGCAGTACATCTGTGGGGGCGTGTCTTAACGTCCATCAGCATGGCCCACTGGCCTCACGCCAAAACAGTGGGGCCCAAGTATGTGTCTCTCCAATGAGCTGTCTTAGTCCTTGCATAAAATGTAAGCTCTGTCGAAAGAGATGATTTTTAGGCAATTCTTCACAAGCTTTGTCTCTTGCCTTTAAGTTTTTCAATTAAGCAATAAACATCATAGCGTTCAGAGCTGTATTCTCCAGTAAGATTCTAGGGAGGGGAAATTCTTCCAGACTAAAAGCAAGCACATTTACTTTGCCAGCCTGCTGAGGTGAGAGCCGGGCTGACAGTCCCTTAGTAAGGCAACACAGCCTCTGTCGTAAGGGGATCGGAAGGATGCCTTGGTCAAGCCAAAATATTCCGTTATTTTTCTAATCTTGATGGCCAACTAAGGGAGTATCCAGAAGGAACAAAATGCTTAAGCAGATTTGTGACAAATATTGTTACTCCTATGTTTTAAATCGTAATGGTACATTTAGCATGATTTTCCCCAAAATAGCCTCAACATTTGCAATTTAAGTTGCAGAAGGCATGTGGTAAGCTAAAAATGGTCCCTCCCCAAAAATATCCATGTCCTAATCCCTGGAACCTGTAAGCATTACTGTATTTAGAGAAAGGGTCTCTGCAGATATGATAAGTTACAGATCTTGAAATGGGGAGATTATTCTGGTTTATCCAGTTGGGCCCTAAATGCAATCACATGTTTCTTTATAAGAGAGAGGCAGAGGGAAATTGGAGACAAAATAGGAGAAGGCACACAGAAGGGAGAAGGCAATGTGAAGACAGAAGTAGAGATTGGAGCAGTGCATCCACGATCAAGAAATGCCATCAAGGAGGCAAGGAACAGACTCTCCCCCAGAGCCTCTGGAGGAAGCATGGCTCTGCAAACATCTCAATTTCAGCCCAGGAAACTAATCTGAGACTTCTATTCTCTGGAATAAATTTCTGTCGTTGCAGCCATCAAATTTCTGGTAATTTGTGACAACAGCCATAGAACACTAATCCAGATTTTGGTGCTGGGCAGTGGAGTCCTACTATAGCCAATACTTAAAAATATGGAAGTGGCTTTGGGCTTGGGTAAGGAGGAGAGGCTAAAAGAATTTCGAGACGCATGAGAGCGAAAGCCTGGATTGTCTTAAGCAGACTGTTGGTAGAAATGTGGATGTGAAAGCTGCCCTTGGAGAGGGCTCAGAGGAGGTGAGGAGCACTGTAGAGCAAGCTTTATCGATAATCTTTGAGAATATACCTGTCATTACAAGCAGAATGTCGATAGGCACTTCTGGCAAGAGCCAGAAGGAAATGAGGAACAGGTCATTGTAACTGGAGGAAAGGCAGTCCCCGTTACAGAGTGGCAGGAAACTTAACTGAATTGTATCTTATGGGCCTGCCGCAAAGCAACACTTGTAAACAAGCAATGAACTTGGATGTCTAGCTGAGGAGATTTCCAAGCCATGTGTCGAGGATGAGGCCTGGTTTCTTTTTTGCTGCTTCTAGTAAAATATGAGAAGAAAGTGATAATTAAGGAAGGATTTGTTAAAGAAAAAAAAGAGCCAGAACATGATAATTTGGGGAGATTTCTTGGTCTATCCAGATTGCAGAAGGTGCTACAATTCGGAAGTTCATTGTTGGGAAAGTGTACTCCAGAGAGAAGGCCAAGGGCGTGCTGGACATCCTTTTCCTGAAGAGAGTAGATGTGTGACTCTTGGATCTACCCAACCGTCCAGCAGAAATCAGGAATAGAGATGGGACTATCCTGGAAGGGTCTGTGGGTGTGACTCTTGTCAAATGGTGTGAATCCCTGTGACAGGCACAAGAAACCCACAAGACTTTTGAGAATATTATACCAGGAGAAGCATTGCCACTGGAAAGAGACACAGGACAAACTGGAAGAAGATACCAGATTACCAAAATCCTACAGGCAGGAAACAGGCAGATAAAACGAATCATGCTTTCGGTAGAAAGGAAAGATAACTCCAAGGGCAGAGTCTTGGACCCAGAGGCCAGAGACAAGGACTTGGTAGCCAGAGCCAAGAACCCAGAGGACAGAGCCTCAAGCCACAGACTTTGAAACCTAAGGATTCACCTGCCCGCATTTTGAAATGTAAGCTCTGTCGAAAGAGATGATTTTTAGGCATGGAATCAGTGATTCTCTTCATTTTCTTCTAATAAGAAGAAAAAGGGAAGTTAGAAGAAAGTGACACAGAGAAGATATTTAACATTGAATTCTTCATCCCTTAAAAGTGGATGGGGGGAGGGATGACTAGATAAAAAAAGAGTGTTTTTAGGGAAGTGAAACCAGTCTGCATGATGCTATAATGGTGGATACAGTCAGTATGCATTTGTCCAAACCCATAGAATATACAGCAGCAAGAGTGAACCCGAAGGTAAACTATGGACTTTGGGTAACTTTGATGTGTCAGTGTAAATTTGTTAGTTGTAACAAGTGTACCACTGTGGTGCAGAATGCTAATCATGGGGGAGGTTGTGTGTGTTGGGGACACGGTGGGTAGATGAAAAATCTATACTTTCTCTCGATTTCGCCACGAACCTAAAATTACTTGCTCTTAAAAAATAAAATCTTTACAGAAATTAATATCATGAGAGGAAACTGTATTTTAAATAGCGATACAATCATTTCTGACAATACATGTAATGTAGAGTATGTGTTCCTGGCTTGATTTATCTCTACAGCCGAGTCCTCGTTGTCTGCATTAACCTGCCTGTCGATCAGGTAAAAGGCTCTCATGGGATGGGCCCCATTATCTTGTGTTGCACACACATTCCCCACACACCACATGCTCTGTGCGGTGTCTGCCCGCACTTTATCTGTGTACCAGATGTAACTGTAACAGCAGCCCCGCAAGGTAGTTAGGTATCCTCATACCCATTTTACAGATGAGGCACCCGAGGCAGAGTCATCAGTAACTGGCCATAAGTCCTACACCTCTCAAGTGTTGGTCTGGCTCTGGAGCCGGACTTGTAGACACTCCACTATGCATATGTTTTCCACCAACCCCTCAGCACCACTTTCAGGCAAGTGAGAGGAAAAGAAAACCTCCTTCTTCAATGATATCTTCCGAATGAGATGATTTTACGTAACTTTAATAGGGATGTTGCCTGACCTTTGACTGGGTAGGTCAACCCAGTCCATGTGGCTCTGCCAAGCCAACTGTACAGGACTACCCAGGACTACCCAGTTAGTCCTTAAAAGTGGGTGGGGGGAGTCCTGTACAGTTGGCTTGGCAGAGCCACATTGGTGAGGTAAACTGTGTCATGTGAAAACTCACTCAGTGAACGTCAAAAAGCATAAAACCACAGCAAGCTTCCATTTATATGAGGAATGAATGGATTTACCAATTTAGAGGGAGCTGAAGTGTCTGTGAAAGTTCACCTCAGAAAATCTGTCTCTCTCCCATGGTTCCCCATATCCTTGACCCGCGGCCATCCGTTGGAAACCAGGGGACATTTGTTTCACCCTGTGGAATGGCCACGGATGGAGTGTCATGGGGAGCGGGTTCCCCACCCCCTGCCAAAACCCTCACCAAATTGACCTGTTCCACATCCTCTGTTTCTTTTCATGTCGTGGTGGTCAGGGACCTAGCGGAGGTGCTCGGACTATCTTCTTCAGGGTCCACATGAGCTTTGGGAGGGGTCACATGACACAGAGTCATGAGTATCCCCCATCAACCAGACAAGCCAAATCAATCCAGGTGTTCAGTGGGTGACAGGTACCACGAGCCAGTGGCCTTGTGACTCCTGCGAGTTTATTCCCCACCCCAACAGGTGCTTTAGACTTCTCATTGCAGACCCCAAGACATTCCGGCTGCCAGCAGTATTTTTCCCCAACTTAAAAATCTAAGTATTTTCTTTAAGAATATAGTCAATAATATTGTAATAGTGTCATATGGTGACCGACGGTAGCTACACTTGTGATGAGGATAGCATCATGTATAGACTTGTCTAATCACTATGTTGCATATCTGAAACTAATGTGACATTGTGTGTCAACTGTACTTCAGTGAAAGAAAATTAAAATATAATGCATGTAGGAACTGTGCGTATAGAGGGAAAATGCAGTTTCTTTAACAAAGAGAGTACATCATTTGTCAGCTTTCTGGTATTAAAAAAAAAAAAATCTTCATTTTTACTTTTATGTTTTCCGAACTTAATTTTTTAAAATCTTAGATAAAACTGTCTTTAGACTCAGAATGGAATCCAGGAAATTTTGACAATATCTTGGTGACTATTAAAAAACCATATTGAATAACAGTATGCATCTGAACTTACTGCATTTATGTAACTGCCTCTTCCTAACAGGGAAAAATTGAGGAAGCATTGAGTGCATTCCAAGAACTAGTTCGCAAATACCCGCAGAGTCCACGGGCGAGATACGGAAAGGCACAGGTATTCGAAATCCCTCCTATGTGGAAAATTTTTTCGATGTCCTTGTGTTCTGTGTGATTGGATTTTTCACTGCCCACTATTTGCATTTCTCTTTGCCCTTCTAACTTATATACAGAGTCCATTTCTCATGCATATGTGTAAACTCAAGCAAGAAATACCATTTTAAATAAGACAATTAACTATTGTTATTGCGTACTGGTGAATTTAGTAATGTTTTCCTGCTCTTGCTCCATCTGGCTTCTCTCTGGGTTTGAAAAGAAAAGAAAGAAGAACACTTTTGTCCTTGATCTCCCATCACTGTCATGCCCCATACGGCCAAGCTTTCACTGTAGGCTCCTCCAAGCTGTAAGAACCTCGGTTTGGCAGCTAGAGACTGCAAGTATGCTTAGGAAAGACTTGAAAATATAAAGTGGAATTATATTACCAGCTACCTTCTCACTATCTCCACTCTCTCATCTCCTTTCTTCCCTGACTTTCCCCATCTTCCAGCTCCTCATTTTGTGAAGCTTTTCCACATTCATCTGTGGTTGCATAAAGCCACCGTGTGCCATGTGCCCTGGGATTATCATAATGAACCCTCTAGAGGTCTCTGTCCTCATGGATCTTATGTTCCAGTGGGGGGTATTTTGAAAAGTTACTTCATCAAAAATTACTTAGAGAAAGCCCACTCCGTGCCAGGCCCTGTTCTAGACGCTGCAGATGTAGCCATCAGCAAAACATACGGAGTTGTCATTGTAGTGACGAAGGCAGTGCGGGAGAGAAAACAAGTGAAATATATATGCTCGTTAGTGAGAAGTGCTGAGGAGAACCTAAAAAAGCAGAGTACCACCATAGGATGTGTGAGGGAGTTGATATGCTCAATAGGGTGTCAGGGAGAGGTCTACCGAGGAGGTGACATTTGAGCAAGGCCCTGAATAAATATATATAGCAATATATATTTAAGGATATTATAAAGTGTTAAACATAAATATATTAGATCACCTTATGTAATATATATCATAAAGAAAAGAAGAGCATACCCATTAAGATTTTTCTGGCTGCGAGTGATGTGAGTTGAGGGTGACAGGGCAGAGAGCACTTTAGATACGTTGACCAGAAAAGGCCTCTCTACTGAGGTATGACGCGTGGCTGAAATGTGACAAGGGAGCTGAAGGAGCTGTGCAGGCAGAGGGAACAGCGAGGGCAAAGGCCGTGATCCGGGGAAGTCATGTTGGCGTAAGAAGCTCAAGAACAGAAAGAGGGCGTGCTGAGGGAGGGCAAAGTGGGACAAGTGAGGCCAGGGCCTCACAGATGATATTCTCCATGCCCTGGGAAGCGTTGGAGGGTTTATGCATGGACTTGGCCATCTTGTTTTTTCATAAAGATTGTTTTGGTTCCTGGGTGGGGAACAGATTAAGGAGGCAGAAGTAGAAGCAAGAAGCATAGGGGACTATTACAAGTATGCTCAAGGCACGGTAGCATGGACTGTGGCCATAGCCGAGGAGATGGGGAAATGGCGGGGAGGGCTTCATGTTGGCTTAGGTGTAAGGGTCAGGGGAAGACAGGACTGGAGTCCTGGGTTTTGGGTTTGGCCAAATGAGGACTGAGAGAAAGAGATGGTTCCTGACAGAGAAAAACTGGTAGAGGAACAGGTTTGGGGAGGTGTGAAGTCAAGAATTCGCTTTTCGTCCTGTAAAGTGTGTGATGCCTCTTGGACATTCCAGTGGACATGTCAAGGAGACACTGAATTTATGAAGTCTGGAATTCAGGATAAAAGCCAGGCCTGATACGCAATGTGATTGGCAATGAAGCTCCCACAGTCCGGCCTGGTGAGATGAGATTCTCAACCCTACTGGGAGATGATAGGTGCAGAGCTACAAAAAATTTCCAGACCCAGGAGAACCTGACAACTCCCGTTTGCCTGGGGTCAGTTCTGTGACTTCTATACTGCACTGACACGGAACTGTCGTATCTGTGGATAAAACAAACATGCTTTGCTCTGAACTAAAGGTGGCAACCACTTGTTCCAGATGCTCAGATTCTTCTTATCTCCCTATTGAAAACTTAATTAAACTTTACTAATTAAATTTTAATAAATTAAGGTTGTGAAAAATTAACACAAATAAATTCCTCCTATCCATGGAACAGACCAGGATACCAGGGGTAGCAGAGAGCAATTATATCATTTTTGTAAATGAGTTTGGTCAATAATCCTCCAAAATTGCTAAATTGTGTTGCTCTAAAGCAAGAGAGTATGTGTTTCTTATCAAAAGATCATGCCTGTTCAAATAAGTGATAAGTTTCCTTACTAGTATTGGCAGTCATTTGATTAAGAAAACATATTAACTAGGAAGAATAAAGATTGATGCAAATGTTAATTATGGCAAAAATTCTTTGTGCTTTAGAATTTTTCTTTGTATGTGATAGTAATTGTAGGTGCCAAAATCCAAATAAATGTACTTTCACACATGGTGATTGCTGGATTTATATCTTTATTTCACTGTAGGAATTTGAGAGATAGGCCTCAGGCAATATTTTTTATCTCTGAACTATTATGCTACAAGGTGTTGTTGATATTAATGTGGCATAAAGCAAAATTTAGGCATGGTAAGTTAAATTTTAATAGAGTAATTTAAAAGAAATTTTAAATGCATAGAAGTTTTAAAAATCAGAGATCAAAAGAAGCTGGATTTTATAGGGAGGAATAAATGATGACTTTTTCATCCTTTGTTTGCAAATTACACAATTACGCTGGAATATCCCAACGAATTTTTTTTTTAATACCCCAGCAAATTTATAAAATTCAGCAACATTAAGTTAAATACGAACTACAGTTTCTGAAGCAGCACGGACATTGTCTGATTCCTGGGATCACCGTGAAAATCAATTTTGACCAAGTTCTCTGAACATCAGATACATCTTAAATTATAAACTCAGTTCACTTTATTGTCTTACACAAACCATTAATGCCTCTGAGGCAGAAAATGACACATCTCCTAGGAAGTTTGGATGGTTGAATTAGTTCAAGTCAACAAAAGGCTTTGTGGTGTTAACATCCTGGAACAAATGTTCAGTTTCTGCCCAAATCACTTTATGTACGGATGCTAAACTGATAACAATAAATCTGTACGACTTTGATATTCAAAGCCAAGTCTATTACTTTCATTCAAAAAAATTTAAGATGGAGATATCATTTTAATACTGAGATTTTCCCAATTCTGGAAGTTGTAAAATGTTTTTACTTCACTAAAATGAAAAAATTTGAGATGGGTGGAGGGGAGGGAACAAGGTATATAAATTGTATCATCTTCCTGTCTTTTCAGATTGAGTTTAGTCTGATATTTATTCCAATTTCTGTAAAGAAGGATTACCTTGGTATTCATTTGTCCTTGCACTAACCTTGAGGAGACCCTCCAGCTCCAGGACTCCATCATTCTCAGAAGTCATCTATGAATGATCATGTTTTAGGGAGTTAACTCACCATAGCCAAACTCACAAGAAACTGATGCCTAAACAGAAAAGCTGGCATATGAATATACCGACGGCCAGAGGGGCAGGATGACCAGTGTGGGTCATTGACATTGGACTTTCTCTCCTGGCAGATAAGTCTATAATGTAGACAGACCATTTACAGATATGAACAGATAGTGGTATATTCTGAAGCTTTTTTCTATCAAGCAAGGGTGAACTGACCTTTTTTAATCTAGACATTTTTGTCCTATCACTTTTCCTTTATCATAAGCCTGTCCACTTCTCTCTTTCACCACTGTTTCCGTCCTAGCCCTCATCATCTCTTGGGAAACTTACCTAATCAGTACACATAAGAAGTTATTTCTTTGAAGTGTTATTTTCTGAAAAGCTCTCCACAGATATTATCAATTTGTGCAGATTCTTACTAGTTTTTGATTTGGGATTGGGAAGGAATGCATCATTTTTTTACCATGCCCTCAAATTGTGGAGTTGTGCTTTACTTTGGTTCTATATATTGACTGCAGCACACACTTTATTTTAAAAAGGTAAACATGTTAAATAGGATATTCTGAGAAAAACATTTTATATGTGACTTTTTTTAGCCTCTAATTAGTATCATTTTTCCTCAAGTGGTAATCTTCAAATTGTAGTTTACGAAATCGGATGAGATTTTGCCTACCATTTTACACATTCGCCTCTTTATCACTCTAGTATTTCACTCTCCATTCTCATTCTCAGTCTCCAGTGAAGAATCTTGCTTATTTCACTAAGAAAATAAAAGTATCCAAAGAGAACTTCCACATGATCCCACTACAGCACTCCCAGCCTACCTCCACCTGCTCCCTATGCTCTGCCTTCCCTCCTGTTAGCATGGACGCACTGTTCTGGCCCCCTCTCCTATCCTCTCTCACCTGCTGAAGGAGAGCATGCTGATTTTTGTGTCTACTTCTGTATCATCACATTTTCCCTCTCTACTGACTCTTTTGCATTAGCTTAGAAGCATGCTGTAATAATTCCCATTGTTAACAAAAACAAAAAACCTCTCCCTGGTCTCCACACTCCCCTCCACCTACTGGCCCATTTCTCTGCTTCCCTTTGAGGGTTGTCTGCACCTCCCTCCCTCCTGGTTTCCTCTGATCCTGCTCCATTCTATTATGGTCCCCAGTTGTCCTGTAGAGATGCTCTTGCCGGGGCCATGAGAGGTGCCATATTGCCCAGTCCAGCATCATGACCAAGATGCTCAACCTGATGGCCCTTCTAACGTGACTGATTACTCCCTCTTGATACCTTTTATCCCTTAACCTCCAGAACACTTTTTTTTGTTATTTTCTTCTTAACCTTTCTTTCTCGGTCCTTTTTGCGGGCCCTCCCCTGTCTTTCTGACTTCTTTCCTGAACCCCAGACGTATATATGTATTTTTCTGTCCAGCATCTCCCCTTGGGTACCTAATAGGTGTTGGGTTTAATACATCCAAAATGGAACTCCTGATTCTGAATGCTGACAAACCCTGTCCTCCCATTCTCAGGGGATGGCAGTTCCATCTGGGAATCACTCAAGCCAAAACCCTTGAATTTATCCTTGACTTCTCTCCCTCCCTTTCTGTCGCATTTCAGCCCACCTGCAAATCTGTTGACTCTGACCTTCAAAATGTATCTATAATCTACCTACCTCCTACCACCTCATTCCTACCACCATAATCCACACTTGATCTTAGCCAAAAGGCCTAGAAGCGATCCTACCACCATAATCCAAACCATCCTCATCACTAGGTCTGGGTTCCTGCTAGAGCATCCTAACTGGCCTCTGTGCTTCTCCACCACCCCTTCGGTCTGTTCTCCATCCCACTACCAGCATGATCCTTTCCATGTACGTCAGATCATGTCAAAAACCCTTGGTGTCTTTCCATCTCACATGGAGGTAGTCTAACGGACTTGGCAATGGCTTACCACGTTCTTCATTACCTGACCACCACTCCTCCACCAGTCCCCTCCTTGCCCCCCTCCTGCACCAACCTTTCCTCTCCCCCTTACTTCCCTGCCCAGGACCTCACTCTTGCTGTGTTCTCTGCATTGGAATGTTCTTCCCCCAGATAGCCTCATGCCTCACTCCCTCCCTTCTTTCAGGCCATCCCTGGTCGTCCTGCCTAAACTAACTCTTCCTACCACCCCTCTGCCGGCACTCCTAAGCCTGCTTCGATTTTGTCCCCAGTGCTGTGGCCACCAGACACATAGTACTTGGATTTGTTTATTGTCTTTTTCTTCATAATGAAGCAGAAGGGGAAAAGGGCTTTATCTGTTTTGTTCACTTTGCCTGCCGCATGGCTCTCGGATGAGAGTTGTTGAATGAATGAGTGAACCCTCAAACTACTGAGAGACCAGGAAGTCTGGACTGGAGCCCTGTCTATGTAATATGAATGTGTAGCATGATACAGATCTCCATCAACCCAGCATAGATTAATTATTCTTGCTTTTATATTTTTTTCTCATCTGTAGCTTGGTAACTAACTTATCTTCATGTTATTGAGATAGCACGTTGAGTTGCTTTTCTCTGTTTGCTTTTTAATCTCTCGATAAAGAGAAAATTTTAATGTCTCAAATTGCTTTTCACGCGTGTCCAGAAATTAACTTTACATGCATATTTTGGGTGATTACAAATACAGCATGTCATGGGACATTTATCCATTGTGGGGACTTCTTCTAGTGTGAAGACGATTTGGCTGAGAAAAGAAGGAGCAACGAGGTGCTGCGTGGGGCCATCGAAACCTACCAGGAGGTGGCCAGCCTGCCCGATGTCCCCACAGACTTGCTGAAGCTGACCTTGAAGCGACGCTCAGACAGACAGCAATTTTTGGGTAAGACAGAATAAAACTTAGTTCAGCACCGAATGCCATGCTGTGTACTCTTAGGTGAGCTTAGTTACCTAGGAGGGAACTTGAGTTTCATAACCTATTTCAGGTAATTTAGCCGAATGGGTTCTAGACAGAAATGGTGGTCCTAACCTTAATATTTACAAAGATGCAGACGGTATTTTACCACCTTTTCCTCACTAACCGCCCCCCCACTCCCAATTTTAAAGTTGAGGCAGATGGGATGCTGGGAGGTTGGATAATTTGCCTAAGGAATCACAGCTAATAAATGAGTGGGTCTGAAATAAAAAACTCTTCCTGTTACACCAAACTCTTTGCTCTCTTAACTATGAAGAACTGATTCCTGGAGGTTGAAATTATCAGAACAGTTTTTATAAAAGATGGAATATTAGGAGTTCCAGGCATTAAAAATTTTGCCTGTAAAGTTTGACTCTAGACCAAGGAACATGACAGGAAAAAAAAAACTTATTAAAATCACTAAGTAAATTTGAGCAGCATAAAGCATCCTCTCTGACTGACCCAGGTGCCCATGAAAGGCAAGTCAGACTAGCCCTAACCTAACTTCATTATGACCAGGCTTCTGATTCCCTCCCACCTAACCTGTCATCAGGAAACCAGACAGAAGAATCTAGGCCACGTGGAACTGCTCCGGTGGGTGCGAGCGGCTGGGTACGTTACCGAGACAGTTACTGATGCCACTCGGAGAGGCTCATATAAGTGATACTGAAGGCCAGCTAACCCTGTTACCAGTTTTCTGAGGGATAGGGTTAAGGGTAGTTGTGTCACTTTAGTAAATGACCAAAGTCTGGTAGGAGCAGAACCCAAGGGATGATTAGAAACTGGAAGAAAGGGTCCATTAGACTTCTATGCAAAAGGGCCAGTCCAGAAGAAGGAAAACAGACAGCACCCACACAAGATGGAAAAGACAGGGCTGGTGCTCAGGGGAAGCACTCGCCTTGGGCACAAAATTAGTATCACTGAGCTTTCCTCTTGCCTCAGGCTCCAGTATGGCTTGGTTAAGCATTGTTTACTTATTCTGTCCTTCAAATTTTGATACTTTGTTCATTGTGGATTTTTTTACATTAATTTTGATTTTTAGGAAGAATGCATAAAAGTATCACGCCTCTGGGTGACTGAATTTTGGGCAGCCTCTTAAACTTTGCATTGAGCACCTCACTTGCTTCACCTTATTCCTGGACCTGGGGGAAAGACTGCCTACAAATACATCTAACCCCCTTCCGCAACCATCCTTCAATACTTGAATGTAGTCTTTTCCTCCAAATGAGAATGAGGCAAGTTCATGAGAGGAGGCTCTATGAGGAGGGGATTGTAGAGAGAAGATTTTATTGAAGGTGACAAGGTGGTGAAGTTTACTCCCAGTATAACAGGGTTGCATGATGCAGAGTAAAAGGTTCGGGGAGGGCAGCAGGCGAGATGTTTACCCGGGCCTTTGCAGTGGTTAACAGGGGAAGTGTAGGAGCAGAGGAAAAGTATGAACCTAAGTTGGACAGATAGTGGGGAAGGGAATGTAAGAAAAGTAGAGTCAGATTTGTGAGTGAGGGAATGAATCACCAAGCGAACCAATCCAAGATCGGCTAGTAATGGGGAGAAGGCCATGGGATAAGCTGGTGATGTTTTATGCCAAATAGTTTTATCTGTGATCAGGACACACCTGCATTAGCTTATTGGTAGTCCTCTCATACTCTTGGCTAATACTTAGTTTGTGGGCAACTGAGCCCTTTAGGGAATGAATTTTATCATGTATACTGGTCTTATTTTGCACATTTTCCCATATTCCATTTATTACCAACTGTGGTGAGGAGGAATGACAGCTGGCCCCAGAAATTTTAAATTTCCATCACATAGCCTTAAAAATTGACCAAGGCTGGGGTTTTCACGATTCCTGTTGTGCATAGCATCCTATCATCCACCAGAGGGTCCCATAATACCAGATGATGTCTTCTTGCTCCTCGACTAGGTCATTCATTACCTGGAGGTAAGGACACTTAATTAGAACCAGGGTTAGCAGTATACCCCAGTGCCTTTTCAAGTTTCACACAGGGAGCTGCACCCAAAATCTGTTAGACTTTTTATTTGTTCTCTGTTCATAATCTTGAAGTTAATCGTAATAAGCCAAAGATAACCCAGTGAAACAATTTTTTTACAAGGAATTGATAAAACTTTTAGAGGGAATTTGACATAAGATAAATGTTGGTGAACTCAGAAAATAATTTGTCTTTAAGATGTTTATAATCAGTATTATATTCAGGATCTACTTATAGGAGTTATTGGTAATCTTTGTAGCTGCCTGATGAAATCCTAAGAAGCCATCAGTGTATAGAGTCAGATTTCAGCTGCTCTTTGGGCTCTATTGAATAGTCTCTCTTGTCTCTTGTGCTTTGTAGACTCAATACAAAGATGTACATGATCTGTTTTTATTTTTGTTGAGTTGTTGTTGTTGTTGTTGTTTTCTCTTCCCACCAAATCAGGTCACATGAGAGGCTCCCTGATTACCCTACAGAAATTAGTTCAACTGTTTCCTGATGATATGTCTTTAAAGAACGACCTTGGAGTGGGGTACCTCTTGATAGGGGATAACAACAATGCTCAGAAGGTCTATGAAGAGGTAAGCAGATAGCAGTCTCCTATTGACCACATCCAGTTGTTTTGAGAATGAAGTTTTAACGTCACTGGTAAATTGCATTTATAATGCCCAACCTCTCTCTTTGTTTACCTTAAATTAAGTTAAAGAGAAAGTTAGTATTCATATAGTTGACATATTCTAAATTTTGTCTTCATCTCCTGTTTTGCCTTAATCAGAAAATTTTAAATTTTAGTTAGCACTTGGTACATCAAAACCTTCAACTTACTATTGTGATAGTTTTTTTATTTTACTTTTATTTATTTATTTAAGATTTTATTTATTTATTTGACACAGAGAGAGACAGCGAGAGAGGGAACACAAGCAGGGGGAGAGGCAGAGGGAGAGGGAGATGCAGACTCCCTGCTGAGCAGGGAGCCTGACGTGGGGCTCAATCCCAGGACCCTGGGATCATGACCTGAGCCGAAGGCAGCTGCTTAACGACTGAGCCACCCAGACGCCCCGTGATAGTTTTTTTTTAATAAATTTTAAAGATTTTATTTTTATTCATTTTAAGAGAGAGAGAGAGAGCTCCTGTGTGCACAGGTGCATGCGCAGGGAGGGGCAGAGGGGGATGGAGAAGGACAGCAGACTCCCCGCTGAACACAGAGCCCGATGCGGGGCTCAATCTCAGGACCCTGAGATCACGTCCTGCGCCGAAATGAAGAATCCACAATTAATATACTGAACCACCCAGGCGCCCCTATAATTGTGATAGTTTTAAAACTTTGTATTTATCAGTCCATAAACACCTTTTCTAAGAGTGTGTGCTTCATGATAGGAAATAGAACTCAGTTTTTCCATAAATGTAAAAACACATAACCTTTTCCCTTATTTTCACCAAAAGTCTAGTCTAGAGAGAGACTATAGAGCAGGGGCCCTTCAAGCATGTGGAGTAAATTACTCACCTTTTGGAGGGCAGTAACTCTTTGATCGTCTAGCAGGGATGCCTTTGAAAGGATTTCTACCTTATAATGGTTATTTTTAATAGATAACCTCCAAGTTACAAGTAACTATAAATCTAGGAAACTGTGTCTCCTTCCAGTAATGAGGAAATTCATTTGGAATAGAATAAACAGGATACCCGATGAACTTCGAAGCTGGAGAAAATTAATGCCTCCATAAAAGAAAGGTGAACACATTTACCTGTTACGCTTTAATTTAGGTGTTTTGGTCAGTGGTTTTCAAGCTGGCATATTTTACATCAAAATGCTACTACTCAGTGATAGCCAATATGATTCCTCTGGTTTAAAAGTGCTGTCAAGTGCAGTGAATTCATACTCCATCTAGGGGCTGGAGCCACTCACAGAGGGGTGCTTTCCTGCTTTTATTGTTGTGGAGTCTTAATTGAAAATCATCAAATTTCAGAACAAGTTTCTCTTCATCCTTGTAATTTTTCTCTTTTCTGAGAGAAGAGAAAGAAGACTTTTGCTTTTTATAGCATGTCTAATATCTACATTAAGTAGATTGATCCTGCGGTGTGAAAATGTGTGTCATTCACTAAAGTACCTGTTCCAGGTCATAAAAGAAGTCCAGGTGGGGCGATGTAGTTGCTAATGGCCAAAACCTAACACTTAGTCCTGTGTTGCAAAGTTGGTTTAAGGGAAATATCATGTATCTCACGATTCAGGATCATATGAATGTAAGAATTGGCCAACTGTATCAGATATACCCATTATTCTGCCACTTCCAAAAGCCTCAAAGATGAAATTGTAGCCTCCCCTCCGTCTCTCCTCCTTTCCTTCCTTCCTTCCCACCCTCCAAAAACGTGATCAAGTGTTAACTGGATACCAAGCACATTTGAGATCAGGGCAGGATCTGAAAGCATACTAGGTTTTCCCACCCACTGTGGATTTGTCCTTCCTCAACTTTTCAGAATGTTCCTTGAATATATTCACTGTTTTTACCTGGTAATAGATCTCAGATATGTGAAACATTTTAATTCATTTGAAAAATAAAATTTATCTGTTGTCATTTATATGTTTGAAATCATAATCTCATCTGAGTAAGCATAACAAGGTGTGGAAAGTCTAAAATAGGGCCATATTATACAATCGAGTGGGTTTCTTTTTAAAGAGCATTATTTGAAAATATGTGTGGGATTTGCCTTTTATTCCCTCTTCCCACTTCTAATAAGCTGTATCTAAGGCATTCTTTGTCATTAACTGAAGTTTATCCTGATATGTTAATGTCTCAAAGATCATTTTCAGAAAACAATTGACTGTAATTTTATACTTTTCTTCATGTTGATTTTTATCTTTGATAAATTATAAAAATCACTGGGGGTGCCTGGGGGACTCAGTTGGTTAAGTGTCTGACTCTCGATTTCAGCTCAGGTCATGATCTCAGGTCCTGAGATTGAGCCCCGTGTCGGGCATCTCACTCAGTGGGGAGTCTGCTGGAGATTCTCTCACTCCCTCTCCCTCTGTCCCTCCTCGGGCTCGCTCACTCTCTGTCTCACTCTCTCTCTCTAAAAGAAATAAATCTTTCTAAATAAATAAAAATCATCGTTGGTTCTCTTCCTGGGTTTTTTGTTTGTCTGTTTGTTTTGCTGCTCTAAGTTTCAGCGAGATTGCTTTACAATGGTTTGATGCAGATTGCTGACACCTGTAGTTTTGGAGGTGGTCCTGCGTCCCCCTTTGCGTTAGCAGCAGGAAAGCCACCCATGGTCTAGAGTCAAGCAATTTCCTGACTTTTCTGTCCACTCACTCCTCACATATATCCATTCTCTTAGTCCACACATGTTTATTGAAGCCCACACACCCTAGCTTGGGAAATGGTAGTTAAGGAAATAAACATATGCTGTGCCCTCATGGAGTTTCAGCCTGATACCAAATCACAAATTTCTGTTAATTTTCCCTTCTGAATATCTTCCAGATCCCCTCCCTTTTTAACCCCAGCACGTATCATCTCTTGCCTAAACTAGGGTAGATTTATCCTGTGCAGGCTTGCTGTCCTCCAGCCTTCATCAACATAAAACACAAATCTGACCATCCCACACTCGGCTTGGACTCCTCACTGGCTTCCCCCGCCCACAGCAGTGGTCTTCAAACACATTCGGCTGCCTACCCTTCCGGTAAAACATACTCCAGCAAATACCTGCGATATGTATGTTTAAGTATTTATGTATTATGTTTATGTAATAATATAGGATATACATTATATAATAATGTGTGCTGTACATTGTAACAGGTACATACCCCCAAAATAAGTTTTAAGATGAAAGGAAGTATTTTAAATACTTTTAGATTTCATGTAATGGCAAAAAAAAAAAAAAATCTAGTCACTAAAAACTTTCTCTTTTATTTATTGATTTAAACTTTTTAAAATTCTCTTTTCTGACTACAAAATTTAAGAGAAGCTTAATGCAGACAACCAGGGAAACAGATTAGCACAAAAGGCAGACATCATCTGCAGCCTCATTCTCACGTACAGACTACCATGATAAACATGTGGTATGTGTCCTTCTAGTCTCTTCCATACACAGAACACTTGTCTTTTTCAATTAAATTAGTATATATGAATCATATCATCGCAAGAATTTTTATAAGTAAATAAAAATTCTTCTAGAACGTAAGTTTTAGCAGCTTCCAAGCATTGATCTTAGGGCTGTATCATCACTAAGTAAACCACTATTGTTGGATAAGATATTTCTGATTATTTTGTTGTAATAAACAATGCTGTGGTGAACATATATGTGCATATAGCTTTATAAATTTTTTTATTGAAGTATAGTCGACACACAATGTTACAGTAGTTTCAGATGTACAACATAGTGATTCAACAACTTGATACAGGACGCTGTGCTCACCCCAAGTGTAGCTACCACCTGTCACCGTACAACAGTGTTACAATGCCACTGACTATATTCCCTATGCTGTCCCTTTCATCCAGGTGACTTATTCATCCCATAATGGGAGTCTTACCTCCCACTCGCCTTTGCCCATCTTGCCCATCCCTGCAGCCCTGTCCCCTGTGGCAGCCACCAGTCTGTTTTGTGTATGTATGGGGCTGTTTCTGCTTTATTTTGTTTGTTTGTTTTGTTTTTCAGATTCAACATGTAAGTGAAATCGGTATTTGTCTTTCTCTGTCTAACGTCACTTAGCATAATACCATCTAGGTCCATCCATGTTGTCACAAATGACAAGATCTCATTCTTATTCTTTTTTATGGCTGAGTAGTGTTCCATTGTGTATATATGCCATATCTTCTTTATGCATGCCTCTATCAGTGGACACTTGGGCTGCTTCCATAGTTTGGCTACTATAAGTAAGGCTGCAGTAAACATAGGGGGGCATATATCTGTTTGAATTAATGTTTTCATTTTCTTTGGGTTAAATACCCTGGTAGTACCCAGTAGTGAAATTACTGGATCATGCGGTAAAAAAAAAAATTGATATTTTGATAATATTTATATGCAATACTATTTGTGATTATATGATTTTTGGTTTTTTGCTGGTGCTGTGTCATGCAAAGAATTTGTCCCGAAAGCAGAAATGTCAGCTATACCACTTTTTTGTCATTGTCTCTGTTGTGTGTGTGTATAAAGAGACAGAATCTATATAATATTATTAATGTTAATCTCAATTTGATTTTCTTAGAAATTTTATAAAGCCACTTGTCACGTCAGGAGGCTTTGTTGATTACCACTAGATAATACAAGCCACACATTCATTGTGCATCTATGTGTAAACTGTGATAAGCACAGGACCTTTTGTGATTTGCCTCCTGGCCCCTTTTTCTGGTCTCATTCCCTTTTGCTGTTCCTGGTCCATTATTCTTTTTTACTCACTTTCTCCTGTGCCTTGAATGCCTCCTCCCCCAGGGTCCTGCATCTTCCCTTTGCTTGGTGAACTCCTATTTATCCCTAAACGCCTCTCAGACCTTGCTTTTGCCACACCAACCCTAAAGTGAGCTGGGTGCTCCTCCTCTTTACCCCCTGCATGCCTTGTGCCTATTGCCATGGCTACACTTACCATATTGTATGACCACTGTGTGCTTGTGAATCTGTCTTCCTCCCTTGACTGAGACATCCCTTGAGAAAAGAGAGTATATCTCATTTATGTTTCTATGTCCAGACCCTAGAAGAGCTCTGTGTATTCTAAAATATCTGGCAAATGAATACATTTGTTAATTACTTGAGAGGATGATTGTCATCTGTGTATCTGCAATCATTGCAATAGGCCCCTCATAGTTTCGCTGGCAGAAACATGACTGGCCTCAATTCAGTTCAATTCCAGAAGTATTTATTGTGCTTTTGCTTAGCATCGAGCTCAGTTAACAGGTGCTTGGAAGGTGAAGAAGAAGCAGAGTCTGTGCTTTAGGAGGAAAGCCCAGCATGCACTCAACCATTCAGTTACTATAGCTTTCTTGATGACCTGCCATGTGCTGGGCACCGTACTAAGCACTGGGGGATCAGCAGTGAGTGCAACAGACAAAATCCCTGCACAGCTTACATCTTAGTGGGAAAAATAAAAGGATGATAAGTCAAATGGTGATGAGCACTATGAAGAAAAGGAATCAGGATAAAGAAGTCAAAAGGGTGATTAGTACACAGGGGATTGGTTCTGTTCTATATGGAATGGTTGGGGGTTGGCTTCACCAAGATGGTGACCTCTGAGCGAAGACTTCATGAAGGTGAAGGAGTGAGCCATTTGGATATCTGGGAGAAGAGTGTTTGAGGCAAAGGAGTATGCACATGCAAAGGTCCTGAGGCAGGGGCGCCTTTGACTTGCTGTGCAGCAGCAAGGAGTCCAGGGCGCCTCAGGGCGGGCTTAGAAGAGGAGGCCAGAGAGGTAGAGAGGCCCAGCTCAAAGGAGGCCCAGAAGACTGTCCCTAGAACTTGGTCTTTTACTCTGATTGAAATGGAACCCATCTGGGTTCTGAACAGGGGAGAGATGGGGTCTGACTGAGGATTTAGTGAGCTCATTCAGGGTCCACTGTGGAGGTTGGGCTACAGGATAGCAGGACTGGGGGTGCAAAAGGTCCACAGTTAGGAGACTTGTGTGAGAACATAGGGGAGAGGTGACGAGATGGGAACCAGGGTGGCAGTGGTGAATATGGTGGCAGGCGCATGATTCTGAATATATTTGGAAGGTAACGTTGACTGGATTTGTGAATGGATGAGGTACAGGACCACATAAAAACTGAAAAATTCTAAAGTATCAGCAGTGTGCACTGTGGGCTCTTCAAGGGGAGGGGGTCCCCTCTCCTGAACACTTGGTCCTGTGTAAGGAGCCCATGGTGAGTGCA